AAAAAAAAAAAACCCTCAGTGCTCTCTTACAGTTACGCAAGAGGTCCACACAGCTGGGAGCTCAGGAAAGGGGGAGGAAGGGAGAAGAAAGCAGACAACAGCTTTCTAAGCCTGCTTCAGACTTTCCGAAATGGAAGGGGGAGAGGGCAAAGGCTGGGTGTGGAAGGAACAGTGGTTTTCCAAGCCCCGCTTGACTTGGCTATGAATGTCAGGCGTGGATTTCTACACTCCCTCCGCATTTGCCTTGCCACATTTCCCAATTTGTCCTCAAATTGTTCTCCCTCAGGCCCCAGGAAGAGGCGAATGTTACTTACATCCTCCCCCAGAAAGCTATCCCTTTATGACCCCTTTGGTTCCTGAATTCAGGCATCCTTAGTGTAGGTGTGGCAGCAGTGAAGACGCCAAGAAATTCCTCACTTATCCAACTTGGGAAAAAGCTCTAACTGCCTCAGCAGCCACAGAGAAGCAGCAGCTCTTTTCTCAGCTTGTTAAAAAAAAAAAAAAAAAGGCACAATCCACACTTCTATCCAAATCTAACATATCCAAGCTGAGTGGGGAATTTGGGTAGGCTGGAAGACTGGCCTTGTCTACCTCTGTGGCTACACTGCTGAAAAGCACAAGCATTCAGGGCTTAGGGCATCTCTGAGCAGAATGCATAGTGTTGTTTTTCATGAGGCCCTGAAGTCAGTCCCTAGCACCAAATAGCCAAAGGCAAACAAGATCCAGTTCCATTTCCCTCATTGTCTTCTTGTTCTATTTTTCTCTCTCCAACTGGGACTTGAACTTGGCCTGGGCACTGTCCCTTAGCTTTCATTCAAGGCTGATGTTCTACCACTTGAGCCACAGCTCCATTTCTAGCTTTCTGCTGGTTAATTGAAGATGAGTCTCCAAGACTTTTCTGCCTGGGCTGGCTTCAAACCTGGATTCTCAGATCTTAACCTCTTCAGTAGCTAGAATTACAGGTGCAAGCCAAGGGTGCCCCACACATTGCTTTGGATTTGTAAGGATTTTTTCCACACAGCTTATGTACTGGTTGTTAATCTACCTGATTAACACCTAGGGAAGCTTTGCAGAATTGGATTAGTACTCTTAGGAGCTAACCAACCACTAGGTTCCAGTCCTATGAGCAGAAGAGCAAAATACTTTCCCTTTTGCATAGGGGTTTGGAGAAATGGTCCACACTTCTAAAAGCTATTTGTCTTATTTTGTTTGTGTGAGGGAAACAGCCTTGCTGGGAAGATAGTCAGTCTAGTTTTTCTAAAGGCCTTTCTTATGTCAATCACAACTCCCTGGAGTAAGAGATGAGACAGAGAGATGCTGTCTCTGTAACCAATAAAAATAACAGTATCCAGCAACCAACCTAAAAGACCTGGGGCTTTAAAGAAACTCTGGAGTTGCAAATATGTTTACTAAAGGGAACAAGAGAAGGAAAGTGATGTAGGGATGTCTGCTAAGACAGATATGCGTAGCCAAGGGCAGTCAATTGAGTTTTGGGGTTTTTTTGGTGCTAGTAGTGGAACTTAAACTCAGAGCCAGGACATTCCTCTTGTTTTTTCACTCAAGGCTGGTGCTCTACCCATTGAGCCACACTTCTATTTTTGACCTTTTGGTGGTTAATTGGAGATAAGAATCTCATGGCATTTTCTGTCCAGGCTGGTTTTGAACTGGGATTCTCTGAACTGCTTCTTGAGCTTACAAATACTAGCTGTAGTCAGCCCCTGCTACCTTAGGGAAAAAAAGGATTTTTGGTAAACAGTTACTGCTTCTACTATTTCACTATTTGAAGATGAGGACTTCTGTTTTTCACCTATCTCCATCAAATGAGCCCTGCCAGATGGGAACTCTCCCCTGGGGCTTGAATTTTGGGCCTGGCCATTGTCCCTGAGCTCTTTTTGCTCAAGGCTAGCACTCTACCACTATGAGCCACAGCACCACTTCCAGCTTTTTCTGTATGTGGTACTGAGGAATGGAACCCAGGGCTTCATGCATGTTAGGCAAGCACTCTACCACTAAGCTACATTCCCAGCCCATCCTTGACCATTTTTGCTCCAGGCTAGCACTCTACTACAGTGCCACTTCTGGTTTTCTGGTGGTTAATTGGAGTTAAGAGTTTCATGGAAACTTCAATCCTCGGATCTCAGCCTCCTGAGTAGTTAGATTACAGGTGTGAACCACTGGTGCCTGGCTATAGATCTTTTTTCACGGAGGTCTTATCTGGTGTGTTCCCTGCTCTCTGTAGGAAATGTTAATTAACCCAGAGCAGGAAGCACAAGCCCCCTACATTAAACAGAATGCTCGGTCCAATAAATTATTTTGCTATTTTCCCATCAAGAAACTAATTAAGAGGTCCACTCCATGCCAAGGAGACTCAGCAGCCAGGCAAGGTATGGGGCATGATTTTGCTACACTCTAGCACCATTAAGTTCAGATACTGTGATTTCATGAAGGAAAAAGAAATTGTGACCTTCACTACTAATTTTACCATTCCATTTATCCAATCAGGGAGAATAATTTGCTTCCCAATTTGTTGACATTCAGCAAATTGCCCAAATAATTGTCTTCTGTAGAATAAACAATTCCCTGAACTCTTCAGCTCAAGACTTTCAGCAGTGCCACTTCCTGTTTTTAGGTGGTTGGAGGTCAGAGTCTCAAGGGGACTTTTCAGCCCAGACTGGCTTTGAACTTCCTCAGATCTCAGCCTCCTGAGTAGCTAGGATTACAAGCATGAGACACCAGCTACTGGCTTTTTTTTTGCCGGCCGTGGGGCTTGAACTCAGGGCTTGGGCGCTATCCCTTAGCTCTTCAGCTCAAGGCTCTTACTGCTTGAGCCACAGCGCCACTTCAGGTTTTCTAGTGCTTTATTGGAGATAAGAGCCTCACGGACTTTCCTGCCCAGGCTGGCTTTGAACCGTGATCCTCAGATCTCAGCTTCCTGAGTAGCTAGGATGACAGTTGTGAGCCACGGGTGCCCTGCTTGCGTTGTCTTCTTTTTGAGACCAGGCCTTAAACCAGAAATCTTCCTACCCTAGCCTTCCTAGTACAGGGACCATGGATTTGAGCCATCATACTTGAGCAAACACATCATATTTGAAAAATAATGTTATGGAGTATCATGGAGCCTTCTCTCTTTTAGACTGACAGTAATAAAAACTCGGGATCTGATGTGGTAGCACATACCTGTAATCCAAGTACTCGAGAATTCAAAGCCAGCCCCCAATAAAAATGATGCTTCCTTTTTCTTACATTACACTGTTCCTGACAAAACTGACACTCCCTTCAAAAGACATAAGCAGCATCAAACTCAAAACGTACTGTCAGGAGTATGAGTATACTCAAATGTATAAAATGCATGAGGAAGCACGTCATGTATAAAATAGAAAGTGCAATGAATACTCTGATAGATTATTTTCTCTTAAAAAATACATATCATTATCATTAATCTTTAATTTTAGATCCTATTACAGCATCCTGAACTGGCAAACAGACACCCAAGTGTGAGTCATGAGCCCAGTAAACACCTCATTTTATAATACTCTTTATTTGATTAAAGATTTGCCTTTCTTGTGTACATTGGAATGTTATATTCCCTACATATTTTACAGGGTTACAAAATGTCTCTCATTTTTAAATATTACCCCAAAAGTAATTTCAGAAAAAAAAGTTTTTGTGAAATTAAACTTGACTGTTTAAAAATCATATGGACAAACAACTCTCAAACAAAACTGGATTAAGATTTCTTGTCTACTTAACTACAAGACAAACTTCTTGTCCCAGTCCCCTTCCTCAGAAAACTTCATGTGGAAACCAAGCTAACCATTCTTCCCTGATACGGTTGGTTAGGGGAAAAGGGAAGGCCAGCAATTTCTTTGGCAAGCAATTCCAGCCATGAGCGCTTGTCAGTGCTCTGCTTCACACAGTCTCCTCCACGAGGAGGGCTGGGTGTTCAGGGGAGTGGGGCTAAGGGCACTGGGTACCTGCCAGTCCTGCCTCTTCCTACTGCCAGGATCCCAGTCTCCAGCAACTTGTCACCCCCTAGTGAGTGCAGCTCTGGGCTAAAAACCAAGGCTGGGCTGCCTGTCGAGTCTCCACTGAAGAAATAATGGATGATTTGGAGCTCAGAAACCATTACTACATGACGATACTCAAAAGGCCTAGAGGGAAGTAAAGGAAGGACTTCAGAGACAGGGACAACTCAGGGAAATGCTGGGTTGGCCAGGAGAAAATGGGATATATGAGTCTTTCCTACATGCCAATATAATCAACTGCTTCTTGAAAGGCCAACACTCTGATGGGGGATGCAGTCCTGACAGTTCAGGGCCAATGGGTGTTGGCACATGACTCACTGAGCCCAGAGTCTCCAAAATCATAACCTGATTTCTGCTAGATGAGAGGATGATGGCAGAGAGTAGCCAAGAAGAGCGAGGTGATATACTTGAGGAATGTGAACAACCTTACATTTTAGCTCAAGGACCCACACGTGGAGAACTGGAAGCTTGGGTAGCCCTAGCAGCAGACATGATTATGTTTGGATGTGAAATCCCTAACTGGGCATGAGCCATTGTTCTTAGACATCTTCTAGGGGCTGGGCATCTGAAAGTGCTTTTTAGCTACCTTAACATTGACACAAGCGGGATTCACAGTACTATTCTAAACTGAAAGGGCAAGCCTTAAAAACAAAACAACTTGGCAAAGTAATAGATGGGCATGGGGAAAAAGACAGCCATCAACCTTATCTCCTAACTTCAAGACTCCACTCCCCCTAAACAGTTCACTTACATTGTCAAAAAAAAAAAAAAAATCAAGAATGGGTTAGATAATTTTGTTCAGGAGTGCCAAACTCAATACCTAAGAAAAGATGATCCCAGTACTTGATTCAGTGTATAGGAAGAAAAACGGAAGGTAAAGGAGTATGAAAGATTAAAATCTACAGAGAAAATCTTTAAAAAATGAAGTATGAAATATAACTATATTTAGGGATTAAAATAAAGGTGCAACTTGGGTGAAGGCAATGGAGGAATTTACTGGGGGTATTATCTGGAGAGCTCGCTTTGCTTTCCTGCTTGCCAGGAAAATCTGTGAAAGAAATCAGCAGCCTTTCCCTTTATGTCTACGTCAGTTCTTTGTCAAAGAATGTCTCTGTGACACTGAAACACTGGGATGAGTTGAGGGTCCCTGCGCGCAGAGAACGTGCATTGTATCAGAAAATAGGGGTCTCCAATGGCTTGTCAACTTGGAAAAACTCTTCAGCCACTGGTGGCTTCTTCTTTATTAATTTGGAATTTTCCCTCTTCCTTTCTCTCGCCTGGGTTTACAGGATCTCGTATTTATCCACTAGGAAAGTGGTCTCTGTGGAGAACCTCACAGGGCTGTTTCCATCTACTTGGGTCACTTTGGTAACCTAGGAAAATAAACACAAAACATGGTTGAGACTTCAAGATGCTGATTTAATTCTCATTATAAAACAGAAAATTTCCCAAAAACAGTAAAAGTTGGTTAGGAATAATGAAGTGTTCAATTCACAGCTGCAGCCCGTGGCATCACTCCTGCCCATCGATATAACTAATGGTTCTTTAGATTGAGGACCACTGCTGCGATGAGATGTGGAAGAATCGGTGTGTGTGTGGGGTTTTTTTTTTTGCCAGGCATGGGATTTGAACTCAGGGCCTGGGCATTGTCCCTGAGCTCTTTTTGCTCAAGGTTAGCACTCTACCACTTTGAGCCACAGCTCTACTTTCAGTTTCTGAGTGGCTAACTTGAGATAAAAGTCTCACGGGACAGCTGGGAGTCAGTGGCTCACACCTGTAAATCCTAGCTACTCAGGAGACTGAGATCTGAGGATCATGGTTCAAAGCCAGCCCAGTCAGGAAAGTCTGTGAGACTCATCTCCAATTAGCCACCAGAAAAATTAACTTGCAGAAAAAACTGGAAGTGGCACTGTGGCTCAAGTGGTAGAGTGCTAGCTTTGAGCTGCAGAGCTCAGGGACAGCGCCCAGGCCCAGAGTTCAAGCCCCACGACCAACCAAAAAAAAAAAAAGCCTCACAGGGACATTTCCAATTGTGATCCTCAGATCTCAGCCTCCTCAGTAGCTAGGATTACAGGCATGAGCCACCAATGCCAGGCAGGAAGCTGCAAATTCTTGCTACTTACTGGGGAGACCAAAACTATCTGGGAAGGTAACAAAGTGCCAAAGTAACAAGCAAGTCAAAAAGAGAACAATATATACTGGACTCCCTAAATAATACAGTTTACAAAAGCAAGAGGTTAACTAAAAATAGTGGTCTAGGTTGTGCTGTACCTCACACCTGTAATCTCAGCTACGCAGAATGCTGAGATTTTAGGATTTCAGTTCAAAGCCAGCTATGGCAGATAAAATTCTATCTTCAATGAACCAGCAAAAAACTGAAACTGGAGGCATGGAGGCATAGTTCTAGTGGTTGAGCACTAATCTAGCAAGTATGAGGCCCTGAGTTCAAACCCTGATACAAAAAAAAAAAAAAAGTGAGCTAGGAGATGAGGCTGTAACTCATGTAAGATTTGCCTAGCATGCATGAGGTCCTAGATTCAATCCCTGGCACTGTGTGTGTTCTAATAGATGACACATTTTTCTCCTTTCCTTTTTTTTAGTGCTGGTCCTGGGGCTTGAATTCAGTGCCTGCACACTGTCTCTGAGCTTCTTTGGTAAGACTAATGCTCCATCACTACAGCTACTACTCCACTTCCTGCTTTTTTGGTTTTTAATTGGTAATAAGAGTCTCATAGACTTTGCTGCTTGAGCTGTCTTCAAACTGAAATCCTGGGCTGGGAAGGTGGCTCAGCGGTAGGGTGCTTGCCTTGCATGCATGAGGGCCTGGGTTCGATTCCTCAGCACCACATAACCAAAAAAAAAAAAAGAAAAAAGGAAAAAGCCGGAAGTGGCGCTGTGGCTCAAGCGGTAGAGCGTTAGCCTTGAGCTGAAAAGCTGAGGGACAGTGCCTAGGCCCAGAGTTCAGGCCCCACGACCAGACCAAAAAAAAAACCAAAAACCAAAAAAACAAAACAAACAACTGAAATCCTTAGTGTAAGTCCGCTCCTGGATGGCTAGCAGACTCCACCCTCCTCGCAGCAAAGTCTCCACCCAGTACCTGCATTACCTAGGCAACTGGGACACCTGGAAGAGGTCACATCTGCATCCACTGAGGTCACATCTGAATTTGATGTGGCCACACCTTTCTCTGCCCATACCCTAGATAAGACCTAGCCCAGGCCCACATGCTCTCTCTCTGCTCTTTTCTAGCTCTTTTCTCTCTCTTTCCCAACTCTCTCTCTTTCCCAGGCCTTGCCCAGCCACGTGGAGTGGCAACCTTGCCTGGTCCCAGCAGGTCTACTGAATAAACCTACCCCTTACCTGAATACCACGTGCATGCTGCTGTTCTTACTCGGCTATCTCTTTTTAAAAACCTAACACTTAGATCTCAGCCTTCTGAGTAGCTAGCTAGGATTACAGGTGTAAGCCACCAGCACCAGGCCAGATAACACATTTCTTCTGTTTTGCCTATCTATAGAACAAAGTTTGCAACAGAAACAGCTACTGGCATCTGGCTGGCTGCAAATGGATTTTTAAAATATATTAGGTTAAAAAATTAGATAACTAGCCAGGCATTGGTAACTCATGCCTGTAATCCTAGCTACTCAGGAGGCTGAGATTTGAGGATTGCAGTAAAAAGGCAGCCCAGGCAGGAAAGTCTCTGAGGACTTTTTTTTTTTTTTGGTCCGTCATGAGGCCTGAACTCTGGGCCTGGGTGCTGTCCCCTTGGCTCTTCAGCTCAAAGCTAGCACTCTACCACTTGAGTGACAGCCCCACTTCCAGCTTTTTCTGCTTGTGTGGTACTGAGGAATTGAACCCAGGGCCTCAGGCATGCAAGGCAAGCACTTTACCACTGAGCCAGCCCAGTCTCTGAGATTTTTTTTTTTTGGGGTCCAGTTGTGGGGCCTGAACTCTGGGCCTGGGCGCTGTCCCTCAGCTCTACAGCTCAAGGCTAGCGCTCTACCACTTGAGCCAGAGTGCCACTTCCGACTTTTTTCTTTTTTGCTTGTGTGGTGCTGAGGAATTGAACCCAGGGCCTCATGCATGCAAGGCAAGTGCTCTACCACTGAGTCACTTTCCCAGCTCCAGTCTCTGAGATTTTTATCTCCAATTAATCACCAGAAAACTGGAAGTAGAGCTGTAGCCCAAAGTGGTAGTGCTGTAGCCTTAAGCAAAAAGAGCTCAAAGATAGCATCCAGGCCCTGAGTTCAAGTCCCATGACCAACAAAGACAGAAAGACAGACAGACAAGGGCTGGGAATGTGGCTTAGTGGTAGAGTGCTTGCCTAGCATGCATGAAGCCCTGGACACTGATTCCTCAGCATCCCCTAAACAGAAAAGCCAGAAGTGGCACTGTGGCTCAGTGGTAGTATGCTAGCCTTGAGCATAGAGAGGCTCAGGGGCAGTACCCAAGACCTGAGTTCAAGCCCCAAGATTGGCAAAAAAAAGGACAAACAGAGGAGAGGAGAGAGACACTGCCAGCTTTCATCTATGATCCCAACTAACTACTCAGGAGGATGAAAACACATTTTTGTCACCAATTAATTAGAAAAAAGCAGGAACTGGCCATGAGCAAAGAAGTTAAGCAACAGCTCAAAGCCCTAAGTTCAAGTCCTAATACAAGCGCGCGCGCGCACGCACACACACACACACACACACACCATAATAAAGTACAACTGCACACTGCACAACTCTCAAGTAGATAGGGAAGTTAAACTTTACATCAAGAGAGGAAATTTGAGATCAAGTAGGTGAGGATTTTGGAGTCATTATAGAATCTACAGGGGACATCAGTGTTTCTGATTTTTGCCGACATGAATCCATGTCACCTATTGGGACTCTGACCTACTACTCTTCCCATATATGTACTCTATTAACATGAAGTACCTGTATGTTGCAATAATTTTTTTTGGAGATGAAGGAAACTTGAACAGGAAAGAAGTCATTGGGCTGCCCAGCAATGCTAAATTCCAGACTGCCACTCTTATTTTTGGCATCAATCACTGGCAGGCACCATTCCAAGGTGTTTCGCCGACTGTCATGTCGATACTCTCCATCGATCTCACCAATCACAGGGGCACCCACACCTGATCTGTTAGGAAAAAAATAGGATTAGTCAGGTGTCCAGAGCTCAAGAAATTCAACCAAGGAAGAAAAATGAACTATAAATTTAATTATGTTCTTTATCTTCAGCCTCAATTTTTCTAGGCCTGCAACTGTTATACAAAGAAAAGGACAATGGGCTGGGAAGGTGGCTCAGTGGTAGAGCTCTTGCTTTCCATGCATGAGGCCCTGGGTTCGATTCCTCAGCACCACATAAGCAAAAAAAAAAAAAAAAAAAAACTGGAAGTGGTGCTGTGGCTCAAGTGGTAGAGTGCTAGCCTTGAGCTGAAGAGCTGAGGGATAGTGCTCAGGCCCAGAGTTCAGGCCCCACAACTGGACCCCCAAAAAACAAAGAAAAAGACAAAAATTAGGCTCCTTAATAATTTCAGTGATCAAAATCCTAGTGCTTTGACCAAGAATCTTACGCTGTTCTCTTTGTAGACAGATATATTCAACAATGGTACTGGATAGTCCTAGCTGCTCAAATTTATGTCTTAAGAGTTAGAAGAGAACTGAGACAATAAATGTGTGAAGCACACTTGTTTGCAAAAATCCTGCACTATGGCTTAACCTGTTAAGAAGTAATCTATTTATTTTTGTCAGTGCTGGGGCTTGACCTCAAGGCCTGGACACTGTCCCTGAGCTTCTTTTGTTCAAGGCTAGCATACTACCACTTGAGCCACAGCATCATTCCCAGCTTTTGCTGTGTTGTGGTATTGAGGAATCGAACCCAGGATTTCATGCATGCTAGGCAAGCACTCACCACTAAGACACATTCCCAGCCCAAGAAGTCATTTAAATGCAATTTAAAAAAAAAAAAGAGAAATAGTGGAGAATAAAAGATTGGTAACACTGTGTGTGTATGTGAGAGGTGAAATTTAAACACCAATAATAGATATGAATTTGGATCTATGAGAAGGTGCTCTCTTAGCTTTTGTGCTTTAGCACTAAGGCCACAGCTCCACGTCTGGATTTTTGGTGATTAACTGGAGATAAAGAGTCTCACAGACTTTCCTGTCTGGGCTAGTTTTGAACTAGGATCCTCAAATCTCAGTCTCCCAAGTAGCCAGGATTAGAGGTGTGAGCTGGCACCTGGCTAAGGGTTGATTTTAGTTTTTAAGGTTAATGGAGTAAGTTTATTTGAAAATGAAAGGAAAGCCATGAGAGGAAATAGTGAGGCTCTCCATTTGGAGACAGACCCCAAAGAGGAGTCCAAGAGATTTTTTTTTTTTTGGGTCGGTCGTGGGTTTGAACTCTAGGCCTGGGCCCTGTCCCTCAGCTCTTCAGCTCAAGGCAAGTGCTCTACCACTTGAACCAACAGAGCCACTTCCGCCTTTCAGGTGGTTAACTGGAGATAAGAGCTACCCGGACTTTCCTGCCTGGTTTTGAACCCTAATCCTCAAATCTCAGCCTCTGGAGTAGCTAGGATTTCAGGTGTGAGCCACTGGCACCTGGGTACCTGGCTTCCAGGAGATTATTTTTTAAAAACTGAGTTCAGAACTTTCAAAACTTACGGAAGCTGATGCCAGTATGCTTATTTCATTTATAATCCAGCAACTGGAATTTGATAAGTAAAAGCATGATTATCCTTGAGCAACATGGAAATATATTTGAGAAAAAGAAATATCCAGTTATCTTGCAAGACAATCAGGGCTAGTTAGGATGTATTTAGCACCCCCACACATGGCTGACAGGCAGTGTCACCTACTCCTACATACTCTACATGTAACCATCTTTTAATTCACTAGTGACAATGCTTACATTAGGGGAAGAGTAAATAAAGGAGACAATGAAAAGTTCAATGGTAGCATAAAATTATTAACCTCTCCTATCATTTTTATGATCAGTGTCTTTTACATTCCTCCTGTGTGCTCTTGCTTCAATTGTGATGCTTTCTAAAATCAGTTCTAGGCTGGAAATGTGGCTAAGTGGTAGAGTACTTTCCTAGCATGCATGAAGCCCTGGGTTCCAATTCCTCAGTACCACATAAACAGAAAAGGCTGGAAGTAGCATGTGGCTCAAGTGGTAGAGTGCTAGCCTTGAGCAAAACAGAAGCTCAGGGACAGTGCCCAGGCCCTGAGTTCAAGACCCAGGACTGGCAAAAATAAATAAAATGATCAGGTCTAGACAGTAGCATAAACTGTTGTCATAATATTCTCTTCTTCAAACCCTAGAGAGAGAGAGACACACACACACACACACAGAGGCAGTGGTGGAGAAGGGAGGGGAAGGGATGGAAATAATGATAATACAGAATATTTGGGTTTTTTTTTTTTTTTTTTGTCAGTCATGGGGCCTGAACCCTGGGCCTGGGCTCTGTCCCTTAGCTCTTCAGCTCAAAGCTAGCGCTCTAACACTTGAGCCACAGCGCCACTTCTGGCCTTTTCTGCTTATGTGGTGCTGAGGAATGGAACCCAGGGCCTCATGAATGCAAGACAAGCACTCTACCACTGAGCCACCTTCCTAGCCCCCCCCCTTTTTTTTTTGCCGGTCCTGGAGCTTGAACTCAGGGCCTGGGCACTGTCCTTGAGCCTCTCTCTCTGTGCTCAAGGCTAGCACTCTACCATTGAGCCAAAGCACCACTTCTGGCTTTTTCTGTTTATGTGGTACTGAGGAATTGAACCCAGGTTTCATGCAATGCAAGACACTACCACTAAGCCACATTCCCAGTCTCCTGTAATTTTTTTTTTTTGGTCGGTCCTGGGGCTTGAACTCTGGGCCTGGGCGCTGTCCCTCAGCTCTTCAGCTCAAAGCGAGCGCTCTACCACTTGGGCCACAGCACCACTTCCGGTTTTCGAGTGGTTTATTGGAGACAAAAGTCTCACAGACTTTCCTGCCCGGGCTGGCTTTGAACCTAGATCCTCAGATCTTAGCCTCCGGAGTAGCTAGGATTATAGGTGTGAGCCACCGGTGCCAGGCCCCCTTGTAATTTTTTAGCTGGACTTTTTTATTTTTGTCAGTTGTTGGGCTTGAACTCAGGGCCTGGGAGCTATCCCTGGGCTTTTTTTCTGCTTAAGGCTAGCATGAGACAAATCAAGTGGCATATGCTTATAATCCTCACAGATGGGAGGCTTAGTCAGAAGAGTTGTGAGTTTGAAGCCATGTTTAGACTTAATCCAGGTTACCTGGTGCTTTTAAACTCTGGGTCTGGGTACTATCCCTGAGCTCTGTAACTCAAGGAGAATGCTCTACCACTTGAGCCACAGTGCCACTTCCAGTTTTCTGGTAGTTCACTGGAGATAAGTGTCTCACTGACTTTCCTGCCTGGGCTGGTTTTGAACCCCGATCCTCAGATCTCAGCTCGAGTAGCTAGGATTACAGTCGTGAGCCATTGGTGCCCAGCAAAGTTGGTAACTTTTTGAAGCTGGTTTCAGTTTTGTCAGTCATGGGGCTTGAACTCAGGGCCTGGGCATTGTCCCTGAACTTTTGTGTTCAAGACTAGTGCTCTATCACTTTGGCCCACAGTTCCTCTTCTGGTTACTCAGATGTAAGAATCTCACAGACCTTCCTGCCCTGGATTTGAATTGCGATCCTCAGATCTCAGCCTCCTGAGTAGCTAGCATTATAGGCATAAGCTACAGGCATAAGCAGCTTTCAGCTGGTTTCGTTTACAATTTCTCTTTGTGTGTGCACGTTCATGTATGTGCACAAATGCATGTGCTGCTACTAGGGTTTGAACTCAAGGGCTCAAACCTCCTTCTTAGCTTTTTTACTCAATGCTGGTACTTTACCACTTGAACCACAGCTCCACTTTCAGATGAGTCTGAATGATGTCTGCTCAGCCTGGCTCCAAACCTTGACCCTCAGATTTCAGCCTCCTCAGTGTCTAGGAGTATAAGCATAAGCCACCAACCAGTGCCATAGCACAACTAGTCTTTATTGTGTATGCCAGTACTAGAGCTCAAACCTAGGGCTTAGGCAATATCCTTCAGCTTTTTCACACAAGGATAGCACTCCACCACTTCAACCATGGCTTCACTTCTAGCTTTTTGGCAGTTAACTGGAGGTAAGAGTCTCACAGACTTTTCTCCCTGACTTCAAACCAAGCTCCTCAGATCTTAGCCCCCGAATGGCTAGAATTATAGGCATGAGCCACTGGTACCTGGCTATAGTTGATCTTTTTTTTTTTTTAAAAAAGCACTGGTGGCTTATACCTATAATCCTATTACTCAGAAGGCTAAGATATGAGGATCGTGGTTCAAAGCCAGCTGGGGCAGGAAATTCTATAAGACTCTTACTTTTAATTACCCAACAGAAAACCAGAATTAGAACTGTGGTTCAAAGTAGCAGAGCACTAGCCTTGAGCAGAAACACACAGGAACAGCACCTAGGCCCTAAGTTCAATCCCCAGGACAAACAATAAACAAAAAAGTAAAAATTGTGGCTGAATGTACCTTGTGGTAGATACTTACACAAGAGCAAGCTTAAGGCCTTGGGATTAGTCTCCAGTATACAAAACAAAGAAAAGGAAAAAAAGAAGCAAATAGGGCTGGGCACTGGTGGCTCATGCCTGTAATACTAGCTACTCAGAAGGCTGAAATCTGAGGATCACAGTTCAAGGATCGCAGCGCAGGCAGCAAAGTCTGTGAGTGAGACTCTTATTTCCAATTAACTACCAGAAAACTGGAAGTGGTGCTGTGGCTCAAGTGACAGAACGCTCACCTTGAGCTGAAGAGCTGAGGGATAGTGCCTAGGCCGAGTTCAAGCCCCAGGACCAACCAAAAAAAGAAGCAAATATCTTAAAATGGATAGCTAGCTAGTGAAATGCTGCCTCCAAAATGAATTAACAAAAACCACTTCTCAAAGTCAATGGACGAAAAGGATTATGTATGGATCTCCACTTACGGGAGTGGGATGGTGATAACTACATCATTCAGTTCTAGATTATCTTCTTGTAGTTCATATTCTATGTTGACATCACAGCCATTTCCACTCTCTGAGGGCCAGCAATTAACTGAGAAAAATAAAGCAGTCATGTTAGAACACTGAAGAGAAGATGGTAAAGCAAGCTGATTGACAGTTGCAGGCCTAAGACATTCTAATGTAACCTACATTTAAAAGAATAATTTCAGCTGGGTGCCTATGGCTCAAGCCTGTAAATCCTACCTACTCAGGAGGCTGAGATCTGAGGATCATGGTTTGAAACCAGCCCAGACAGAAAAGTCCCCATGAAACTCTTATCTTCAATAAACTACTCAGAAACACAGGAAGTGGTGCTGTGTTTCAAGTGGTAGAGCACTAGCTTTGAGCACAAAGAGGCTCGGGGACAGCACCCAGGCCCAGAGTTCAAGCCCCAGGACTGTACCCCGCCCTACCCCAAAAAAAAGAGAGAACAATTTCAAGTTTAAACTATTAAAGCAAATGATGAAAACATACAAAATGCAGCATCAAGTCCATTTTGTAAAGATGGTCACTTTTTCAAAAAAGAAGTTTGCTATAGCAATGAGAAGGCAAGAACCTATAAGTCGTGGCTATTTCCAGTCCTTAATGCAGATCAGCTGATGGGACTGGCCAGAAGCACTCACTTGTCAATGGAATAAAAGATTCCTCTGTGGTTTGTAGTCTCCACTTTAATACCCCTACGTCACTATTGACTGGAAATGACTTCTCTGGATTCTTCAAGCCAATTAGAGACTCTGCAGTGAAAAGTTTTTTATCCACATTTGGATGGGTCTGAAATAAGAAGGGAAGGAAAACTGAAGTTCAGAATTGAAAAAAGAAGAAATCAACCCCATTTGGGCTTACCTGACCAATAACCTAAATGTCTAAAACAAGGTACCTCATAAATCCCAATTTTCATTTTATTTTGTGTGTGTGTGTGTGTGTGTGTTTGTGTCTGTCTTAGGACTTGAGCTCAGAGTCACTGGCACCTGGCATAAATCCCAATTGTTTGATTTTGATTTTATTTTTGGTATTATCCTGGGGCTTGAACCCAGGGCTTAGGCAATGTTGAGGGTTTTTTTGCTCAAGGTTAGAGCTCTACCACTAAGGTCACAGCTCCGCTTCTGGCTTTTTTGGAGATAAGCATCTTTTGGGCTGTTTTGCCCAGGCTGGGTTTGAACTGCAATTTTCAGATTTCAGCCTCCTAAATAGCTAGGATCAGAGGTGCTTGAGCCACTGGCACTCAGCCAAAATTGCTTTTGATTTTGAAGAAAGATTTGCTCTTTAAAGACAAGTTTTAAGACATTTACTCAGATATAACAAGACTCTTTCAAGCATAAACACATGAAACAAAACACCTAATAGATGATTAAACACTAATAACCTGCCAGGGGCAGGTAGGTCCTGTCTGTAATCCTAGCTAATTGGGAGTTCTGAGGATTGCAGTTCAAAACCAGCATGGGCAGTCTTCAGACTAAATAGCAAAAAGCCAGAGGTAGAACTATGGCTTACGTAGTAGAGCACCAACTTTGGGCAAAAAAAAAAAAAAAAAAGCCAAGGATGAATGAATGCCAGGCCCAAACATTGGTATCAAAAGCCTCTGCACACCTGTAGCTGCACTCCTTTTTTATCTTCATTTTCCACGTGAAGACGAATTCGGCCAAATTTATCATCTGAGATCCTAAGCATGATCATGCCGTGTAACTCCATATTCTGTAATCCTCCATCCCGTCCACAGGTTAATGTGATCTTTTCTTCAATCTTCATATGCACACTGTAAAGACAAAGTGATTGATCTGTTTAGAAATGTAGGAACCAAAACTTATAGAGAACTTTTTTTTTTTTTTGTTTGGTCCTAGGGCAAGGCAAGCACTCTACCACTGAGCCACCTTCCCAGCCCCTTTTACTTCTTTTTTATAGTAATGGGGCTTGAAATCAGTGTCTTGCATTTGCCTAGCAAGAACTGTGCCACTGAACCATGTTCCTTACTCTGTTAACTTTAGCTCTTTTTAAAGATAGTCTCTCCTGTTTTTGTTGGGGCCAGATTCTGACCATGATCCTCCTATCTGTGTCTTCCACTAAGCAAGGATTTGAGGTATGCACCACCTGATCCAGCTTATTTGTTGAGATGGGGGGGGGGTGGTATTTATCTCACTAACTTTTGTCCAGACTGCTTAATACTGCAAATCTCTCATCTCCTCTGCTGAGTAAGTTGGATTACAGATGTAAGCCACTCACTGCTCTTGGTCCTTGGAAGATCTTTTTTATATAAAAACTTTTTTTTGGTCAGTCGTGGGTCTTGAACTCTGGGTCTAGTCACTGTCCCTGAGCTTTGTTCACTCAAGGCTAGTGCTCTGCCACTTGAGCCAAGCACTACTTCTGGTTTTCTAATGGTTAATTGGAGATAAAAGTCTCACAGACTTTCCTGCCTGGGCAGGAAAAGATCTCAGCCTCCTGAGTAGCTAGGATTATTACAGAGGTGTGAGCCAGGAGCCCAGCTGAGTTTAAAAATTTTTAATGTGCTGGGTGCTGGTGGCTCACACCTGTAATAATCTAGCTACTACTGAAGATCATGGTTCAAAGCCAGCCCAGGCAGGAACATCCATGAAACTCTAATTAACCACCAGAAAACCAGAAGTGGTGCTGTGGCTCAAGTGGTAGTAAAGAGCTCAGGGACCAGCGCCTTGACCCAGAGTTCAAGACCTACCACTGACCAAAAAAAACTTTTTTTTTGAAGTCTTTTAACTTTTATTATAGGAATGTAACAATTTAAAAACAAAATTACAAAGTACTGTAGGCAATTATTACATACAATCTACCCATTTCATAATATAAGTACATTTAACTGGGTAAACTGCGGAGCCCACAAATATTTTGGTCTCATACTTCATTCTCTATTCCAACCTCTTAGGTCTTCCCACAAACAAAAAACACCAGACTCTGGTCTTCAGGGTCCCATTTTTGCCTTCATAAGGCTTACTCTCCACTTAAAGAGGTATTTCACTTAGAAAGGGATCTGAAGCTCTCTAGTACATGATGGTCTCCAACAGGTTTAAAAGCACCAAAACTCTCTCTCGAAGCTAGAAGTAGCAGAGGCACTTTAGTGAATCAAGATATGTATTCAAATGTAATTTTGCTCATTTCATTAAGAACAGGACACATAGTTAATTTTCTCCCTTTATGCAGGCATGATAGAGGTATCCTCACATACTCAGCTTTCACTTGACCTTAAAACCATCAGGAACAGTAGAAGGTCTGGGCTCAAAACAAGAAATCTGAGTCATGAATAGGTGAACTTGATTAACCTATCACTTAAAAATGTCACCAACCACTACTTCAGCCCAGGACTAAAAACAAATCAAAACAGTATATTGGGGCTAGGTATAACTCAGTGGCAGAAGGATTGTCTAGTCTAACAAGTGCAAGGCTCTGGGTTTGATTCCAAGAACAACTGAAGTAGGGGACTGGGTCTATGCTTCCCCTAGATAATTAGCCCTTGATTTCCTGATTGTTTCCCTAGATGGTTTGCTTTTCTATTAGGTTTAAGTGTCCTCATCTAGTTTGCTTTGCTCATGTAAAACACTTTTGTTGGGTTTGATTCCACATACTTTGTGTGGATTTGGCCTATATTTGTGCTAACTGCATTCAAGGCTGCTGACCATTGAAATATGAGTCTACCAGCAGTCCTCTGGCTCTCCAATAAAGACTCATAATTTGGCCTTTTCTTTCCAATAAAGAATCATAATTTGGCATTTTAAGTGTTGGCTTCGCTGTTTCTTGTGACTGAGTTTCCTTACAACACAATGAAACACTTTATAAAGGCAAATGTTAATTTGTTGTTGGTATTTATGACTTTTGGGTTAAAAATTGGTTCTCCTTATAGTTTAATCAAAAAAAAAGACATGCCTAAATATGTGTGACCATTATCACTACGGACCCCTATCTAGGAAATACTCTAATTGAGTCTTTAAAATGAGAAAACATTAAAAGGTAAATTTCTTTTAAATCAGTGAATATTAGTTGTAAGTTTCACTGCAGTATTTCACATCTGCATATATTGAACACTGATCAGATTAATGCCCTTTATTGTTGTTTTTCTCTCTCCCCCTCTTCCAGTCCTCTCAATACGTGTGTGTGTGTGTGTGTGTGTGTGTCTCTATTTTTTTAAGTCTAAAAAACTGTTTTGTGCTGGGCACCGGTGACTCATGCCTGTAATCCTAACTACTCAGGAGCTGAGATCTGAGGATCGAGGTTCAAAGCCAGCCCGGGCAAGAAAGTCCGTGAAACTCTTATCTCCAATTAACCACCAGAAAACCGGAAGTGGCGCTGTAGCTCAAGTGGTAGAGCACTCTCCTTGAGCTGAAGAGCTGAGGGACAGTGCCCAAACCCAGAGTTCAAGCTCCACAACTGACAAAAAAAAAAAAAAGGTTTTGATTATTAGCATAAAAAAGGAGCACAAAAAGAATTTATAGCACACTGGAAGACTTAAAATATTTATGTTTGGGGCTGGGAATGTGGCTCAGTGGTAGAGTGCTTGCCTAGCATGCACAAAACCCCGGGGGTTCAATTCTTCAGTACCATATAAACAGAAAAGGCTGGAAGTGGCGCTGTGGCTCAAGTGGTAGAGTGCTAGTCTTGAGCAAATGAAGTTCAGGGACAGTGCACAGGCCCTGAGTTACAGTCCTTGAACTGGCAAAACAAAAACAAAATCAATCTGAGGATGGAGGCTCAAAGCCAGCCAGGGCAGCAAACTCTGTAAGACTCTTATCTCCAATTAACCACCAGAAAACAGGAAGTGGTTCTGTGGCTCAAAGTGGTAGAGGGTTAGCCTTGAGCAAAAAAACCTCAGGGACAGTGCCCAGGCCTTCTGAGTTCCAAGTCCCATTACCAAACAACAACAACAACAACAATTAATCTCACTTTACAAGTTACTAAAAAATTACTCCTTACCTCTCCATATTAATAGATGGAGCATGCACTTTGGTTGCTTCAGAGGTACGCTTGCCCATACTAGAGGACATGATAGTTTCACCTTCAGATTTCAATTTGTCCACAAAGTTATCTACTTCCTTTCCTTTGGCTCCAAGTTTCAAAGCCTTGCTGGGACCTGAAGGCCTAAATGCAAAAACACAAAGTAAGAAAACAAACATAATAAAACATACAAAGAGCACAAATATTAAGAATTCCACATCAACGAAAGTTTCCTTGAAGCTATTCTTGTTGTTTTTTTTTTTGGGTCCGGTAGTGGGGCCTGAACTCTGGGCCTGGGCACTGTCCCTCAGCTCTTCAGCTCCTTGAAGCTATTCTTTAAAAGGAATGTAAAGATCTCACGGGAAAAATCTGCGCTTCTAGTATTGGTGGGTATCATTACTGACAGTCTAATTAACTTGACCAAACTGCCAGTATTATATATACTATATATTACACATATGATATATTTTTGAGTCTGATTTTTTTTTGGGGGGGTGGGAATCAGGGTCTTGATATATAGCTTCAGCTAACCTTGAATTCATGATCTTCCTGCCTCAGCTTCCCAAGTGCTGGGATTATAGGAGTGAACTACTATGTTGGTTTTTCGTTTTTTTTTTTTTTTTTGTCGGTCGTGGGGCCTGAACTCTGGGCCTGGGCGCTGTCCCTCAGCTCTTCAGCTCAAGGCTAGCGCTCTACCACTGAGCCACCTTCCCAGCCCCATGTGTTGGTTTTTCTTTTTGGTCTTTTTTGGTGAAGTCTGTGACGGGACTGGGGCTTGAACTCAGAACTTTGCACTCCAACTTTCTTTCTCATGGCTGGTGCTCTACCACTTGACCCACACCACCAGCACACAGTCTTGAGGATGTTTTTGTCCAAGCTGGCTTCAAACTGTGACCTTCTAGGTCTCTGCTTCCTAAGTGGCTAAGAGTATAGGAATGAGCCATATGCATCTGGCTCTGTGTGGGCCAATAATGGGGCTAGCACTCTCCCCTTAGCTTTCTCAAGGCTGGCACTCTACCGTTTGAGTTACACATTTTTTTTTTTTGCCAGTTAATTGGAGATGAGTCTCTGGGATTTATCTGCCTGGGCTGGCAGTATCCTCATATCTCAACCTCCTGAGCAACTAGGAGTACAGACATGAGGTACCAGTGCTTAGCCTGGCAATTTCTCTCTCTGTGTGTGTGTGTGTGTGTGAGTGTGTGATTATAGAGGTATACCACCAACAAGATGACAGTGATTATTAATACGGAACCTCTGAGATCAAAGTTATGTTTTTACAATCATACATATTCTAGGAAAACTTTCTGCCTTCAATCCAGATAAGTAACTGTTTACAACAAAATTTAGCATACAAGTAGTCTAGAGTCCTCTCCAACATTAAAATTAAAAAACCATGTTCCATAAACTGTTAAATAACTCTTCCATTCCTCAAGTAAAACAACACTCACAAGAAATTGAAGTCATGCATAATTTGTAAAAGGATTCTCTCCTACACCCCCCCACGAACCAACCTATTTATGTCTTATTATTCCATGTTTTATGCTGACTGGGTTTATACCACATTTTCCTTCAAGTCCCCTACTATTTATCGCTTGTCTAGAAATCACTCCAAAGTTATACAACAATATACCTTCCCCTAGCTTATTAGTGTTGCTGGTAATATATTCTGGATATACCTGGCTGGTGCAGGTGCCACTTTTGGTTTATCAGTTTCAATGATGGTTTCTGTGATCATGGCAGCTGTGCTTCCTCCAGATACTGCAGAGCTACCAAATCCCCCAAATCCTGGTGCTTTTTTGCCCTGTCTCTCTGCATCTCTTCGGGCCTGTTGTAATTCCTTTGCTTTACGCCGCATCTCAGCCTTTGCTTCACGTTCTTGAGTCTACAGAAAGAGATGGGGATGTAGCTTTGAGTACAGTCCACAACAGCAAGTAAAACTAGAAAAATCAGACTAAAAAAGGCTAAGAGAAAAAGCAGTCCTAGAGAAGACCTCACTTACCTCTCTGACTGCTCTGAAGACTTTTTCCTCATGAGAATCCATTTCTGTGAAGGTTCTGATCTGTGCCAGATTAACATTCTCCCGATATCCCAGGGCGACAATTTCATCAAAAGCAAAAATCAAATCAAAACAGTGCTCTGATATTTCATTCTCCTCTAAGGCTCGGCAGTATTCTGGAATCTAATTAGGAACAGCAATGGAAAGGAAATTTAGAATTCATTGGCAGCTGTGTTTCCATAGCTTAGCCTTATCCTATCCTCATCAGGTGGTAGAGCACCAGCCCAGCCAGGCAAACCAGCGGAGCAAAAGTTAGACTCTAGGTTCTAAACCCCAGGATGACGGGGGGGGGGGGGGAGAAAGAGAGAAAAAGGAGAAAGGGGGAGAGAGGGGAAGAGAGAGGGAGAGAGAGAGAGGGAGAGGGAGAGGGGGAGAGACAGGGGGAGAGGAGAGAGAAAAGAGGGGGAGGGGAGGGAAAGAGGGAGGGAGGGAAAGAGGGAGAAGAAGAAAGAATATGTGTATGCATGGATTTCAATGAAACAAGATTGAACCCAGGGGCTGGGAAGGTGGCTCAGTGGTAGAGCACTTGCCTTGCATGCTCAAGGCCTGGGTTCGATTCCTCAGCACCACATAAGAAAAAAAAAAGATTGAACCCAGGACATTGCATTTGCTAGGTAAACGCTTTGCCACTGTGCTACATCCCAGCCCAAAATCTCTTTCTCAGTGCTTAATCTTTATGTTAAGAAAGACTTTTTGGCATAAAAGGATTAGAGCTTAGTCTATGTTAAGACATTTTGGCATAAGAGTCTTAGAGAGAAAGTATGTGTGTGCATCAGTGTTATCTAAAAAACATGGCTAAGCAAGTAGATTTGAGTAACTAAGAACTGGGATATAAAAGTAATTCTTGCATTCTCTTTGAGACACTTATAGCTTAGGAAGGCATCTAATAAAAGTCTTCCAAATGGGGCTGGGAAGCTGGCTCAGTGGTAGAGTGCTTGCCTTGCATGCATGAGGTCCTGGGTTCAATTCGTCAGTACCCATAAGCAGGAAAAGCCAGAAGTGGTGCTGTGGGCTCAATTGGTAGAGTGCTAGCCTTGAGCTGAATCACTGAGGGACAGTGCCCAGGCCCAGAGTTCAGGCCCCACAACTGACCAAAAAACAACAACAACAACAACAAAGAGTCTTCCAAATGAAGGCTGGAGGTGTGGCTCACTGATAGAGAGGCCTGTCTAGTAAGTGTGAGGCTCTGAGTTTATTTTATTTATTTTTTTGGGGGTCCGGTCGTGGGGCCTCGGCACTGTCCCTCAGCTCTTCAGCTCAAGGCTAGCACTCTACCACTTGAGCCACAGCGCCACTTCTGGCTTTTTTTTTCTTTTTCTTATGTGGTGCTGAGGAATCGAACCCAGGGCCTCGAGCATGCAAGGCAAGCGCTCTACCACTGAGCCACCTTCCCAGCCTGGGCTCTGAGTTTAAAGCCCAGGATTAGAAGAAAAAAAAAGTTGGGGCTGGGAAGGTGGCTCAGTGGTAGAGCACTTGCCTTGCATGCCTGAGGCCCTGGGTTCGATTCCCCAGTACCACATAAGCAAAAAGAAAAAAAGGTGGAAGTGGTGCTGTGGCTCAAGTGGTAGAGAACTAGCCTTGAGCTGAAGAGCTGAGGGACAGCGCCCAGGCCCAGAGTTTAGGCCCTATGACCGGACCCCCCCCCCAAAAAAAAAGAAGAAAAAAAGTTTACCAAATGAATAAAGAGCTGCAGAGGTTTAAGGTATAAGCTCAGCAACAGAGAACTTGTTTAGCATGCACAAGTCACATTCTATCCCAAGTGCATACACACCCTCTCCCCCAAAATAAGGAGCTACAGTAATAGGGCACTGGGCACTGTGAAGAGCCCACAAGTGATCATCACCAGCAGCTCTGGAAGAAAAATTACTTCAAAAAAATTACACAAAGTAACATAATAAAAAAAGGAGCAGTTTTATAGAATGACTTACCACTCTTGAAAAGAGCCTAAGTGTCTCCAAATCTTCTAAAATGTTGCTGTTTTTGGTAGTGATCAGTACCATGTACAATTTTTCCATAGGCTGGTAGACATATCTTACACTCTCTGTTTCAACAAATGTATGTTGTTTTCCAGTGTTCATGAGTTTTGGGAAAGCTGCTAATAAACCCTCAATCCGAGTTCTGGTCATCTCCACAAACTGTCGAGAAACAATAGCTTTTCCTGCTTTTGTGCAGACTGCTGCTGCCAAGAGCACCTGCCAGGAACAAAGGTATAAATAAGTGCTAATTACTTCTTCACATCTGTTTTCTCTTCTCAGAAGATCTTCCACAGAGAGAAACTTATTCAGTGATATGTTAGCATACTTTTACTCTAGTTCATTGATTACAGTATGAATGAAATTCATAAAAAGAAGTTAAAGTAGAGGAAAATAAAGCCACTATTCCATTATATACCTATGGAAAAACTTTAAATTTGGAGCTAGTTGTTTATGACTGTAAGCTGAGATCTAAGATTCAAACTCAAAACCAGCCTGGGGAGCCAAGAGCCAGTGGCCCACACCTGTAATCCTACTCAGGAGGCTGGGATCTGAGGACCGCGGTTCAAAGCCAGTCTGGGCAAGAAAGGCCGTGAGACTCTTATCTCCAATTCACCACAGAAAACTGGAAGTGGTGCTGTGGTTCAAGTGGTAGAGCACAAGCCTTGAGCTGAAGAGCTTAGGGACAGCACCCAAGCCCAGAGTCCAAGCCCGAGCAACAAAAAACCAGCCTGGGCAAGAAAGTCCTTGAGGCTCTCTCTTATCTCCAATTAACCACCAAAAACCCAGAAGTGGAGATGTGGCTCATGTGACAGAATATTAGCCTCAAATACAAAAGTTCAGGGACAGCAGCCAGGCTCTGAGTTCAACCACCAGGACTGGTGTACACACAGATACAGACACACAGACACACACAGAAATAAAATAGTATCTTTCACTGGAAAATAGACAGAGCTGGAGAGCACGTTAAGTAAAATAAGCCAAAGCTGAGTGTGATGGCTCATGCCTATAATCCTAGCTACTCAGGAGGCTGAGATCTGAGGACTGCGGTTCAAAGCCAGCTCAGGCAGGAAAGTCCATGAGACTTTTTTTTTTGGCCGGGGGGGGGGGGTTGAACTCTGGGCCTGGGCACTGTACCCCAGCGAATCAGCTCAAGGCTAGCACTCTACCACTTGAGCCACAGAGCTACTTCTGGCTTTTTCTGCTTATGTGGTGCTGAGGAATTGAATCCAAGGCCTCATGCATGCATGGCAAGCACTCTTACAACTGAGCTACCTTCCCACCCCCTCCATGAGACTCTTATCTCCAATTAACCACCAAAACTCTGGACATGGCACTGTAGCTCCAGTGGTAGAGTGCTCACCTTGAACTGAAGAGCGCCAGGGACAGAGCCCAGGCTCAGAGTTCAAGCCCCATAACTGACAAAAAAAAAAGTATGACATGTTTTCTCTCACTTGTGGAAGCTAAGGGTACATGAAACAAAACATAACCAAAGCTATGAAAGTAAAAGGAGGACTATTAGGAATGTGGAAGGGGTATGAGAACAGTGGAACAAAGTAATAGAGGGGATAAATATGATCAAAGTATATCATAGCCAGGTGCTAGTGGCTCACACCTGTAATCTTAGCTATTCCAGACGCTGAGATCTGAAGATGGCTATTTGAAGCCAATCTGGGAAGTAAAGTCTGGAGACTCATCTCCAATTAACCAGCAAAAAGCTGGTTAGAGGTATGGCTTAAGTGGCAGAGAGCCCTGCCATGAGTGAAAAAGCTAAGGGACTAGGCCGGGTGCCTAACTACACAAGAGGCTGAGATCCGAGGATCATAATTCAAAGTTAGCCAGGGCAACGAAGTCCATGACTCTTGTCTCCAATTAACCTGCAAAAAGTTGAAAGTAGAGATGTGGCACAAGTGGAAAAACTGCAGGCCAAGTGAGATCATGAGGCCCTAAGTTCAAGCCCTACTATAAACACACACACACACAGGGACACACACACAGAGAGACACACAAACACACACATCTATCATAAAAATAGGAAATTCCTTTATACTTAGGATTACCTTTTCTTTGGTCTTCCATTTTTCTGAAGACCAACTGAAACCATACCAAGCTGATACACCAAAAAATTAAAACTGTTTGGTGTATATGTGAATATGATCCTCTATTTAAATTTGATTTTATTTTTTGTCAGTTGTGGGGCTTGAACTCAGGGCTTGGGCACTGTCCCTCAGCTCTTTAGCTCAAGGGACTCTGCCACTTTGAGCTATAGCTCCACTTAGGGTTTTTGAGTGGTTAACTGGAGATAAGAGTCTCACAAGGATTTAACAGCCCTGGCTGGCTTTGAATTGTAATCCACAATCCGCAGATCTCAGCATCCTGAGTAAGTAGGATTACAGGTGTAAGACCCAAGCGCTTTGCTAAATTTGATTATTTTTAACTTTATTATTATTGAATAGTTGTACCAAAGAGAATTCAATTCCAGAAGTCAGGTTATGAGTACAGTGCATCCTGGTTCCTGGTCAATGTCACTCTTCTATCATTAAATTTTAAAAAATAAAACAAAAAAACTCTTAAATTTTTGGAAAAAGACATGTGATCCAAAAGGAACTTTTAAAGTCCTCAATAACCTTAAAAAAGCAAGGGCTCAGAATCTAAATGATTTCTAGGATTGTTAAAAAACTTTACCTTAGCCGGGCGCTGGTGGCTCACGCCTGTAATCCTAGCTACTCAGGAGGCTGAGATCTGAGGATCGCGGTTCAAAGCCAGCCCAGGCAGGAGAGACCGTAAGACTCCTATCTCCAATAAACCACCAGAAAACCGGAAGTGGCGCTGTAGCTCAAGTGGTAGAGCGCTCGCCTTGAGCTGAAGAGCTGAGGGACAGTGCCCAGGCCCAGAGTTCAAGCCCCACGACCGACCAAAAAAAAAAAAAAAAAAAAAAACTTTACCTTGCCTGGCATACCTGTAATCCAAGCTACTCAGGAGGGAAGAGATCTGAGAACTGTGGTTCTCAGGCAGCCCAGGCAGGACAGTCCACGAAGTTTATTTATGTATTTATTTGGTGGTTGTGGGACTTGAACTCAGGGCCTGGACACTTTCTCTGAGCTTCTTTTGCTCAAGTCTAGCACTCTACCACTTGAGCCACAGTACTACTTCTGGCTTTTTGTTTATGTGATAATGAGGAATTGAACCTAGGGCTTCATGCATGCAAGGCAAGCACTCTACCACTAAGCCACATTGCTCCCGTTCTGAGACTCTTAATCTCCAATTAACCATCAGAAAAGTGGAGCTTTAACTCAAAGTGGTAAAACATTAGCCTTGAGCAAAAAAGCTCAGGGACAATGCCCAGGCCCCAAGTCCCTAAGTTCAAACCCCATGGCTGACCAAAAAAAAAAGAAAAAAGAGAGAGAGAGAGAGAATCTGCACCATTTATTGGGTGCTAGTAGCTCACACCTGTAATCTTAGTTACTCAGGAGGTGGAGGTCTCAATATGGTTTGAAGCCAGATTGGCAAAGAAAATCTGTGAGATTCTTATCTTCAATTAACAACAAAAGCATTAGGACAGTGCAACCTGCCAAGTTCAACCACCAGGACCAGTGCATATGCATACACAACTCTAAAAGTCTACATATCCGAGAATTTCACAGTAATAATACCCACTGCCCAAGTATTAATTACTTTGGAAGATATTTTATACTGGTATTAAGCTGCTAGAAGGCAAACTGTCTAACCAAAACAAAGTTTGTCTGTAAACCTACAAAATATAGGTATAAAAATAATCCCAAACCAGGCTCTGCTTCTGAAGCTGTGGTGGCCCATCTCTGTAATCCTAGCTACTCAGGAGGCTGAGATCTGAGGATTGAGGTTCAAAGCCAGCCTAGGCAACAAAGTCTATGAGATTCTTATCTCCAATTAACCACCAGAAAACCAGAAGTGGTGCTGTGGCTCAAGTGGTAGAGTGGTAGCCTTGAGCTGAAGAGCTGAGGGACAGCACCCATACCCAGAGTTCATGCCCCACTACCAACAACAACAAAAATAATAATAATGATTCTAGCACTTAGAAGTCTAAGGCAGGAAAATTAGGAAATAGGAGACAAGCCTAGGCTACACAATGGGATCCTGTCTCAAACACACCCCCCCACCCCCACACAATTCCATCTATCAAGGCTACATTCTAGAATTGTATCTTACCATTTATATAGTTTCAAATAAGGAAGATTAGAATAGAATCTAATCCACATACAAAATATGAAACTTGAAAAGTTTATACAAGAGTTTAGATCAATTACTTTTGTGTCTAAAAACAAAAGCTTGTATATAATTAAAAAAAAAGATATGGGCCAGGGCTGGGAAGGTGGCTCAGTGGTAGAGCGCTTGCCTTGCATGCATGAAGCCCTGGGTTCAATTCCTCAGCACCACATAACCAAAAAAGAAAAGAGCCGGAAGTGGCGCTGTGGCTTAAGTGGTAGAGCACTAGTCTTGAGCTGAAGAGCTGAGGGACAGTGCCCAGGCCCAAAGTTCAGGCCCCATGACCGGACGCCCCCCCTCCAAAAAAAATGTTTGTGACTTTAAGTATCACTATCCTACAATACTGTGAAATGTGTGAAATTTATGTAATCACTTAATCTCAATAAAAGATTATTATTATTATTGTGGTTTTTTTGGGGTCCAGTTGTGGGACTTGAATTCTGGGCCTGGGCGCTGTCCCTCAGCTCTTCAGCTCAAGGCTAGCGCTCTACCACTTGAGCCACAGCACCACTTCCAGCTTTTTTCTTTATGTGGTGCTGAGGAATCGAACCCAGGGCCTCAGGCATGCAAGGCAAGTGCTCTACCACTGAGCCACCTTCCCAGCCCCTCAATAAAAAATTATTAAAAAAAAAAAAAAAGACATGGGCCAGGCACAGGTGGATTACACCTGTAATCCTAGCTACTCAGGCTGAGATCTGAGGATCTTAGTTTCAAGTCAAGCCTGGCAGGAAAGCCCGTGAGACTTCTCCAATTAATCACTTCTCTCCAATTAATCACTGAAAAAGCTAGAAGTGGTAGAATACTAGTCTTGAGCAAAAGATTAGCTTACAGAGTTCAAGGACCAGGACCAGCAAAAGAAGATGAAGATGAAGAAGCCAAAGCCGCAGCTGCAGAAGAAGAAATGCTGTGTCCTAACACTTGACAGAACAGAATGTATTTAGATAAACTGTTCTCTAGAGCACATGCTCTGTATCTGAAATGTGCCATGTCCTTAATAATTCAGAAACATATGACATAAGTTTAAGTGCGTACACATGTCAAAAGGGAAAACAAAACAGATGTAACACTCAACATCTACAGCTTTTACTATCTTTCAATTGTCAATGAATTAAAATACTAAGTAGTAGCCTGGCAACCGTGACTCACACCTATAATCCTAGCTACTAAGGAGGCTGAGTTCTAAGGATCATGGTTGGAAGCCAGCCAGGGCAGGAAAAGTCCCTGAGTCTCTTATCACCAATTAAACACTAAGAAAGCTGAAAGTGGAGCTATGGCAAGTGGTAGAGCACTATCCTTGAGAAAAAGCTCAGGGACAATGCCCAGGACCTGAGTTCAAGCCCCAGGACTAATAAATTAATTAACAAACTTAAAAATTGTAAGCCCCAAGAGGCACTATGAATAGTTTCACAGAAGAAAGTTTCTTAAAACGCTACCCAAATACTGTCTCCTAGTGAATCCGGCTCGATGCAGTTTATAAACCTGAGGCTGAAACACAAAAGAAATCGGAAAAAACAAAAAACTTTCAGTATGTCCGAAGCACAAAATCTCCCAACTAGCCAAGTTCTCAATGAACTTAGGCACAGGAGAGGCTTTATATCAAAATTATCCACCAAAAACGAACACCAAGAGCAGCCTTCAAAAGCTTGGAGGAGGACACGGCACAAAGCAAGAGAAGACTGCAGGACCTAACGTGCACTAAAAAAAATAAATGGTTGGCTGGCTGGAGCCGGCGGAGTCGCTGGCACTTCATGAATATGCAGCAATCACGGACAACGCAGCGTCGGGCGGCGTCAGCAGTCGTGGGCTCCCCATCCTCACCCATTAAGGCTCCCCGTCTCTACCATCGGGGTGGGGGGCGCGCCTCGCAAGGCAAGCAGACGGTCCCAGGTGGGACCCCGAGTTCCCCTCCCGGGACGGCCCGTGGCCGTAAACCACGGACAAACTTCACCCGCACCCCAAGTTTTCCTGGAAGACAAAACCGTCTCCCCGTCCCCCCCACCCCGCCCCGCCGCGCCGTGTTTCCAAGACAGGGCTCGCTCCCATTTCCTCGGTGCCCGCCACACACACCCGGGACCCGGACAATCCGCGGGGGCAGCAGTGGTGATGATGATGATGACGGTACTGCGAGCGCTGGGCCCCGGCGGAGGCCTCCGCGAGCGGCCCGGCCCGCGGAGCG